AGGCTCTCCGAGCATCCCTGTCCGGCTCCTCTCCCCCGGCTCAGCACGGCAGAGTGCCCCGGGGGCGGGACGGGCCGGGGCCCATCGCAGGTTGGGGAGGGTGACCGGTACTTGTGCCTTGCACATGCCACATACCGAGATGTCACCTGGCTCTGGGAGGAGTGTGCTCTGCCCCATATAGCGCATCCTCTCTTTTTCCCCACCCGTGTTTTTCTTTGCTTTTTGGCTGTGCCGTCGGACTATGACAAAAAAAACCCTGCAAAACCTGGCTGACCCCCTCGCATCCAAGGGGACGCAGCCCCCGGGAAACACTGTTCCCCGTCCAGCTTGGAGGGAGATGCTCCAGCCTGCTCCTCTGTGCATCCCCCTGAGGAAGGGACTCTGTCCTAGAGCAAGTGATCTGGCAGGTGTGGGCTGACTCTCGGCTGCGGGACAGGCTGAGGGGATGGGGGATATTTGGTTACTGAGGCTGCAGCCTTCGGAGCGCTTTCTTGATGCCTTGAGCTGAGCTACGGTCACCAAAAAATCTGCCCTTTGTGTTGAAGTCACGTTCCTGTGTGCTGCAGCCCTCAGGGTGGCTGAGCAGGGGAGAGCAGCAGCATCCCCCTGCCCACCTGGGCTGGACCAGTTTTCCCACCAGTGAGAGCTTCTGTATCTTTTCTGGCTGTCCTAAGGGACAGAGCCCCGGGGAGGAGGGGTGGTGACAGTGGAAGTGGCTTGGGGGGGCTCAGCAGCACTGTGTATCTGCTTGCTGTGGCCGGGAGATAAACCGCAGGGGGAGGGGACAGCCTCTGCTGCCAGCCTGGGGCAGAGCCCCAGGACTCACCCGGACCCGGGGTTTCTCCTAGCTGCAGTGTTTCCTGGAGTATCGGTTTTCTCCAGGCGTAGCGTGAAGGGTGTCGAAATAGCAACATAACTTTGATAGGTGTGCAACTGGTGTGCCACAGCACGAGAGGTGCCACTTACGTCACGAAGTGGCTGAGGAGGAATCAGGCAGGTCACAACTCGCCAGGTTAGACTCGACCTCCCTCTGCTCCCCAAGCAGCGCAGAGCTTAGTTCCTATTTCCCCAGGCTCACCTGAGTTATTAAGCACCATGGTTTGGGGGAGCTGAAAGCTCAGAGCAGTGAGCGATTTCTAGTAGCTCTGCACCTTGCAAGATCAAGCTAGGGCCTGATTTTTTGGGCATCTGCAAGCCTTAAAAGTATTCCAGTAACACTGCTGGTTTCAGTCTGTGTCCAGGCGAGGAGCTCAGTGCTCTGGTTCCCACCAACCCAGCAGGGAGCTGGCCTTGCACCAAAAGCCGCTGGTCTCTGCACCGCAGTTAAAACATACCTTTGTACTTCATGGGAATGCTGCCCTTTCCATCTCTTCGGCCCTGCAAAACCAAAAATTAAGCCAGGCTTGTCCTCTTAATCCTGCCCTGGGTGCGCAAGACATGCTTGTACCCACAGGAAGGAGAGTCCATCAGAGCCATGAATAGGGTCTTACAAAAGACCGTGCTCATCAGGGAAATAAAAGCCAGATAAAGGGGCAATTAGAAACTTTGTGTTCAGTGGAAACTGATGCCTATAATAGCAACATTTGAGATGCATAAAGCTCTGTTCGTTGTTCTGCACCCCCCCCCCC